CTAGGACTAAATCTAACCAGGGATGTAAAAGACTACAAAATACTTGCAAGAAACCAAAAGAGACCTAAATAAATGGAAAAACATACCGTGCTCATGGATTGGAAGACTTCACATTGTGAAAATGCCAATACTCCAGAGCAATCTATAGATAAAATGCAATCCTGATCCAAACCCTAACAAAATTCTTTCATGGAATGCAAAAACTAATCTCCAACTTTATGTGGAAAGGGAAGAGACCGTGAATAGCTAAAGCATCATTGAAGAAGAACAAAGTAGGAGACATCACACTTCTTGATCTCAGAACTTACTATACAGCCATGGTAGTCAAAACAACCTGGTACTCATACAACAACAGAGCCATAGACCAATGGAACAGAATTGAGAACCCGGAAGTAAATCTATCCAGCTATGGACAACTGATCTTCAACAAAGGGTCTAAGTCCATTCAATGAGGAGGAAATAGTCTCTTTAACAAATGGTGCTGGCAAAACTGATAGCCATTTGCAGAAAAATGAAACAGGATCCATACCTCACATCATCCACAAGAACTAACTCAAAATGGATCAAAGACCAAATGTTAAACCTAAAACCATAAAGTTCTGGAAGATAATATTGGGACAAAGCTAGGGGTCCTACATTATATGGCATAAATACACTATCAAACATACCTAAAAACACATAAACATAAGATAAGCTAGATAATTGGGACCTCCTATAAAAAAGACTTTTGCAAAAGAGTCAAAAGAGAACCTACAAACTGGGAAAATCTTTCTGGCAAGGGCATATCTGACAAGGGTCTCATCTCTAAAATATGTAGAAAATGTCGACACCTCAACAACAAAAAGACAAAGAATCCTGTAAAAAGTGGGCAAAGGACATGAACAGACACTTCACCAAAGAAGACATTTAGGCGCCTAACAAACACATGAAGAGATTCTTGTGATTATTAGCCATTATCCATTGCCAGCAAGTTGATTCCAACTCCTAGCTAGCCTATAGGACAGAGTAGAACTGCCCCATATGGTTTCCAAGGAGTGGCTTGTGGATTCGAACTGCTGACCTTTTTGGTTAGCAGCTGAACTCCTAACCACTGCACCAACAGGGCTCCTATTAGCTATTAATGAAAAAAAAAAAGAAACCCAAACCCGTTGCGTTCGAGTCTGTTCAGACTCATATTAGCCATTACAGAGATGCAAAGCAAAGCTACAACGAGCTACCATCTCACCCCTGCAAAAATGGCACTGATGAAAAAACAGAAAACAACAAATGCTGGTGAGGTTTTGGGTAGATTGGAACGCTTACACACTGCTGGTGGGATTGTAAAATGGTACAACCACTATGGAAAACAGTATGGCACTCCCTCAAAGAGCTAGAAATAGAAACATCATATGATCCAGCAATCTCACTCCTTGCTGTTGTTGGTATTGTTATGTGTCATCGAGTTGATTCTGACTCATAGAAACCCTGTGTACAACAGAAGGAAACACTGCCCGATCCTGCACCATCCTCATGATCGTTGTTATACTTGAGCTCATTGTTGCAGCCACTGTGTCAGTCCATCTCTGTTGAGCGTCTTCCTCGTTTTCACTGACCCTCTACTTTACCAAGCATGATATCCTTCTCCAGGGACTGATCCCTCCTGATAAATGTCCAGAGTATGTGAGATGTAGTCTCACCATCCTTGCTTCTAAGGAGAATTCTGGCTGTAATTCTTACAAGAGAGATTTGTTCATTTTTTTTTGGCAATCCATGGTATATTCAATATTCTTTGCCAACACCACAATTCAAACATGTCAGTTCTTCTTTGGTCTTCCTTATTCATCGTCCAGCTTTCGCATGCATATGAGGCAATTGAAAACACCATAACTTGCATCAGACACACCTTAGCCTTCAAGGTGACATCTTTGCTTTTCAACACTTTAAAGAGGTCTTTTGCAGCAGATTTTCCCAATGCAATGTGTCTTTTTATTTCTTGACTGCTGCTTCCATGGGTGTTGATTGTGGATCCAAGTAAAGTGAAATCCTTGACAACTTCAGTCTTCTCCATGTATCATGATGTTGCTTATAGGTCCATTTGTAAGGATTTTTGTTTTCTTTATGTTAAAGTGTAATCCATACTGAAAGCCGTGGTCTTTGATCTTCATCAGCAAGTGCTTCAAGTCCTCTTCCTTTCAGGAGGCAAGGTTGTATCATCTGCATATTGCAGGTCGTTAATGAGTCTTCCTTCAATCCTGATGCCACATTCTTCCTTACATAGTCCAGGTTCTCAGATTATTTGCTCAGCATACAGTTTGAGTAAGTATGGAGAAAGAATACAACCCTGACACACACCTTTCCTGACTTTAAACCATGTAGTATCCCCGTGTTCTGTTTGAATGACCGCCTCTTGGTCTATGTACAGGTTCCTCATGAGCACAATTAAGTGTTCTGGAATTCCCATTCTTCACAATGTTATCCATAATTTGTTATGATTCACACAGTCAAATGCCTTTGCATAGTCAATAAAAAGCGGGTAAACACCATTCTGGTATTCTCTGCTTTCAGCCAGGATCCATCTGACATCAGCAGTGATATCCCTGGTTCCATGTTCTCTTATGAATCCAGCTTGAATTTCTGGCAGTTCCATTGATACACTACCACAGCTGCATTTGAATCGTCTTTAGCAAAATTTTACTTGTGTGTGATATTAATGATATTGTTTGATAATTTCCACATTCGGTTGGATCACCTTTCTTGGGAATGGGCATAAATATGGATCTCTTCAAGTCAGTTGGCCAGGTATCTGTCTTCCAAATATATTGACATAGACTAGCGAGCACTTTCAGCACTGCATGTTTGTTGAAACATCTCAATTGGTATTCTGTCAATTCCTGGAGCCTTCAGTGCAGCTTGGACTTCTTCCTTCAGTACCATTGGTTCCTGATCATATGCTTCCTCCTGAAATGGTTGAACATTGACCAGTTCTTTTTGAGACAGTGACTCTGTATATTCCTTCCATCTTCTTTTGATGCTTCCTTCATTGTTTAATATTTTCACTGTAGAATCTTTCAGTATTGCAACTCGAGGCTTGAATTTTTTTTCTTTTTATTGTGCTTTAAGTGAAAGTTTACAATTCAAGTTAGTCTCTCATACAAAAATTTATACATACATTGTTTTGTGACCCTACTTGCTCTCCCTATACTGTGACAGCACACTCTTCATTTCCACCCCAGATTTCCCGTGTCCATTTATCCGGCTCCTGATCATCTCTGCCTTCTCATCTCACCTCTGGATGAGAGCTGCTCATTTAATCTCATGTATCTACTTGAGCTAAGAAGCACGCTTTTCACAAGTATCATTTTATGTCCCATAGTCCAGTCTAATCTTTGTCTGAAGAGTTGGCCTTGGGAATGGTTTTAGTTTTGGGCTAACAGAGAGCCTGGGGGCCACGTCTTCCAGGGTCCCTCCAGTCTCAATCAAACTATTAAGTCTGGTCTTTTTACTAGAATTTGAGTTCTGCACCCCTCTTTTCTCCTGCTCCATCAGGGACTGTCTGTTGTGTTCCCTGTCAGGGCGGTCACTGTGGTAGGCCAGCACCATCTAGTTCTGGTCTCAGGCTGATGAAGTCTCTGGTTTATGTGGCCCTTTCTGTCTCTTGGGCTAATACTTTTCTTGTGTCCATGGTGTTCTTCATTCTCCTTTACTCCAGGTGGATTGGGACCAGTTGATGCATCTTAGATGGCTGCTTGAGGCTTAAAGTTTTTCTTCAGTTCTTTGACCTTGAGAAATGCCGAGGGCATTCTTCCCTTTTGCTTTTCTATCCAGGTCTTTACAGATTTCATTATAATACTTTACATTGTCTTCTAGAGCTGCCCTTTGAAATCTTCCGTTCCACTCTTTGACTTCATCATTTCTTCCTTTCATTTTAACTACTTGATGTTCAAGAGTAGGTTTCAGAGTCTCTTCTGATATCTATTTTGGTCTTTGCTTTTTTTCCTGTCTTTTTATTGACCTCTTGCTTTCTTAATGTATGATGTTCTTGATGTCCTTCCACAACTTGTTTGGTCTTGGTCATTAGTGTTCAAGGTATCAAATCCATTCTTGAGATGGTCTCTAAATTCAGGTGGGATATGCACAAGGTTGTACTTCGGCTCTTGTGGACTTGTTCTACTCTTAGGATCCTTCGGAGTGTTTATATAATTATGTAAATGTTTGCTTATCACACAAAAATGTTTACTCATAAAACAGACTATGTATAGTCACTGTCCATATTCACTGGACCCCCACATAATAATAACCTGAAAGTCTTAGTTGCATCATTACCTACTTTGACTTAGGAATTATGCTTACACAATTTTCCCATATTCAGTAATATTCTAGATGTAATATTACTTTTCATCTTGGTGTAAAAAAATCAGGATTTTGTCCTCATAGGGCTTACATCCTTCTTCCATGGGAAGGTAGGCAGCAAACAAATTAAAAATATGTAATACAAAGTCTGATCATGGTCAGTACAATGGAGAAGGAACATGGAGGTCATAGGTTTGAGGAATAATCTATTAAAACTTAAGGTCCAGATAACTTAACAGTTTGTGTACAAAATCTGAAATGAGGATGGACCTTCGTGTTCCAGTACCAGTCTCGATTTTGAGAAATTTTGAATTATTCAGTTTAATTTAAGCAGAGCCTGTAGGACTCCCTGGATGGCACAAATGGTTAAGTGCTCAGCTGTTATTTAAAATGTTGGTGGTTCAAATTCACCCAGAGGCACCTTGAAAGAAAGGCCTGACAAACTACTTTCGAAAGATCACAGCCATTGAAAACCCTGTGGTTCACAGTTCTACTCTGACACACTTGTGGTCACCATGAGTCAGAATTGACTCGATGACGATTGATTTAGCTTGGTTTTAGTAGAGCCTCTTGTGATTATTTCTCAGAATGACCTTGTGAGGCCAGACTGATTTCACTGCAAGTTTAGAAGTTGTGTTTTACTTAGCGACTCTTCTCTTGTCTTCTTACAGTGTTCAGTGAAGACCTACACTCCAGCCTCTACTTTGTCAATGCATCTCTGCAAGAGGTAGTGTTTGCGAGCACCTCGGGGACCCTGGTGCCCTGCCCTGCTGCAGGCATCCCTCCTGTGACTCTCAGATGGTACCTAGCAACGGGCGAGGAGATCTACGATGTCCCCGGGATCCGCCACGTCCACCCCAACGGCACTCTCCAAATTTTCCCCTTCCCTCCTTCAAGCTTTAGTACCTTAATCCATGATAATACTTATTATTGCACAGCTGAAAATCCTTCAGGGAAAATTAGAAGTCAGGATGTCCACATCAAGGCTGGTGAGTACAGTTTCTGGAGATTTATTCCCTCTGTGCGCACTTGCGGGTAGGTTTGGGTGGGCAGTGATAAATATTAAAATGCCATCACAGCTGAGCATCAGTGAAAACTCTATCATTATCTCATCCTAACACTGCTGATGAGTTCTTTGAGATTTCAGTACATTCCTGGGCTAGACTTCAGAGCAACGTAGCTGTTAGAACTAAAATTTGAAATTAGTGCTATCAAGTCAGTATGTTGTTATTGTTAGGTACTGTTGTGTTGGTTCCGACTCCTACCCACCATACGTACAGTAGAATGAAACACTGCCTGGTCCCGCAGCATCCTCACAATCATTGTTTTGCTTGAACTCATCGTTGCAGCTACTGTGTCAGTCCACCTTGTTGAAGGTCTTCCTCTTCTTTGCTGACACTGAGCTTTACCAAGCATGATGTCCTTCTGCAGGAACTGGCCCATCCTGTTGGTATAGACTAAACTATCCCCCAAACTTATTATATTTGACTAATTGATACTCTGACTCAAGCTGTCAGTGACTTAAATCCAGTGTATTTGCTTTGTTTCCCTCTCCTGGGGCCAGGCAATGGAGGAATGGGAAGGAGAAGGGGAGAGAAAAAAGCAAACTTAGAGTAGAAAACAGTCCAACTAGAGTAAAACCATTGCATAAATGCATATCATAACTGAAACAGAGCTAACCTAATAGGCCTCTGCATTCCTTGTGAAATGCATGACTCTTTGAGCATTTTTGACTATGTCACGTGTTGCTGAAATGATGTCAATACATACATCCTGAGTCAGTTATATTCCTTTTTAACAACAGTCTGCAGGTCGTCATTGCCGTAAGTCAACCCAGGACTGCAGCTTGAGACACACAAAACATCAAAGTCTTTACCTACAGACAGATTGTGACATTCTGTAGGCTTAACAAACTCCTGAAAAACAAATTCACAGCTAGACTCCTGTTAGCAAACGACATTCTAATTTTGTTTTTAAATTTAGCCTATCAAGTACTTGGGTAGACTGACATAATATAATGTCAGGGCAAAGAGAATGTGACTTTGATTATTGCCTTCTACACCGGTAACTGGAGGAGCTTTATAATATTTTCTGCAGCAAGCGAGGAGGAGGTAGCTGAAGGCATCGTAACATGAGCAAAATACAAGATGTTTCCAAATTATGGCATACGATCACTTTGATGTGAGCAATCCAACATTAGACTGTGACTCACCCTGCCAGCTAGTCATTTTCCCAACTATATTTTGATCTTCATGACATGCTTATGAATTTCAAGGTCTGTACAAGAATGAATTTACGAAAGGAAGGAAACGATCTGCTTTAATCAAGAGATATGAAAAATTGATACCTTTGAATAATTAAAGTAAACACAAATTTTACTGGGACTTCTAAGCCTGACAAACGTGGAGATATAGTGAACACCTCTTAGCAGGCTCAAACTTAATGATGTGTTATAAATGCACGCTGATAACCTACAATACACAACTGAAAGAGAAAACTGAAACTTCAAACAGCGACGCCTGTGCGTGTTCATCTACGGTGTTGTTTTGGGTCTCCCGACAGACATGGAAATTAAATGATCACTTCTGTTTTAACTGCTGTTTTCTAAATTTGTCATAGAATGGGTGGTTATTTTTACATGACACTGAAAGTTTTAGGGTTCTGGAAATTGCATAATCCTGTCCAGTATCTCTGCTACGCCCCCTGCCCGTTCTACGCAGCTATACAACTGTTTATTTGCTAGGATTCTCTTTGATGTATGAAAACCTACCAAATATGAGTCCAGCATACACACATACACAGGCTTGATGTGTCAATTTGATCTTATAATAGTGATAATTGCATTGCCCAAATGGAATTTATTTTCTCACTTAATTTTAGTTCATACTATGAATGTATTATTGTTGTTGTTAGGTGCTGTCCATTCGGTTCCGGCTCATAGCGACACAGTGTACAACAGAATGAAACACACTGCCTGGTCCTCCACCATCCTCACAATCATTGTTATGCTTGAGCCCATTGTTGCAGCCACTGTGTCAGTCCATCTTGTTTAGGGTCTTCCTCTTTTTCACTGACTCTCTACTTTACCAAGCATGATGTCCTTCTTCAGGGACTTATCCCTCCTGATAAGTGTCCAAAGTACGTGAGATGAATTCTCACCATTCTAGCTTCTAAGGATCATTTGGTTATATTTCTTCCAAGACATACTTGCTCATTCTTCTGGCAGTCAATGGTCATTCAATATTCTTTGCCAGCACCATAATTCAAATGCATCAGTTCTTCAGTCTTCCTTATTCATTGTCCACCTTTCACATGTGTATGAGGCAATTGAAAATACCATGGCTTGGGTCAGGTGCACCTTAGTCCTCAAAGTGACATCATTGCTTTTTAACACTTTAAAGAGTTCTTTTGCAGCAAATTTACCCAATGCAATATGTCATTTGATTTGACTGCTACTTCCATGGGATGGGGCCCTGGTGGTGCATTGGGTAAGTGTTTGGCTGCTAACCAAGAGGTCAGGATTTCAAATCCACCAGCTGCTCCATGGAAACCCTATGGGGCAATTCTACTCTGTTTCCTATAGGGACACTATGAGTCAGAATTGACTCAACAGTAATGAGTTTTTTTTAACGGGCTTCCATGGGCGTTGATTAGGGATCCAAATAAAATGAAATCCTTGACAATTTCAGTCTTATCTCGGTTTATCATAATGTTACTTATAGCTCCAGTTGTGAGGATTTTTGTTTTCTTTTTATTGAAGTGTAATCCATACTGAAAGCTGTAGTCTTTGATCTTCATCAGTAAGTGCTTCAAGTCCTCTTCGCTTTCAGCAAGCAAGTTTTTGTCATATCACATATCACAGGTTGTTAATGAGTCTTCCTCCAATCCTGATACCCCGTACTTCTTTGTATAGTCCAACTTCTTGGACTAGGTGCTTAGCATATAGATTGAATAAGTATGGTGAAAGAATACAATCCTGACACACACCTCTCCTGATTTTAAACTACATAGTATCCCCTTGTTCTGTTCGAATGACTGTCTCTTGGTCTATGTACAAGTTCCTCATGAGCACAGTTAAGTGTTCTGGAATTCCCATTCTTTGCAATGCTATCCATAATTTGTTATGATCCACACAGTTGAAATCCTTTGCATAGTCAATAGAAAGATTAGGGTTGTAATAATCTTTTAGATTGTTAGTTGGATGTTTGAAATTCTGGTTTCACCACGTTCATTTAGATGTTAAGAGATACCAGTATAGTACTGGGTGGTTATTCAGAGGGGCAGGTGAAGGAAGGTGTATGCTACCCACTGACAGCTGCGGTGCAGGTTTGAGGGAATGAGTACTGACTCTCAGGGTGTTGGGGTTTTCCTGGAATAACACATCGAGTAGAAGTGCCTTTATAATCGCTCGTTTGGTACCACAGGTGATTCTTGTCATTAACAGTGTAGTGACTTTGACCTAGGTCTAGGTCTAGATGGCAGCAATAGAGAGAAGGTTTACCCATCATTTCTTATTAATCATCAATTCTGTTTCTGGTCTAACATAAAATATCTTCTTGCCCCTCCTAACCTAAGGACCAGGATGCAGATGGACCACTTAAAGTAGTACTGCCCTTTGCCCATGTTATATTTACTACTTGGTAAACAGTCATTAGCTGTATGACCTTGAGCAAGTCAAGATAATTTTAAGTTTTCTTTTTAGTAAACTGTGATTAATAATGTTGGACTGGAATTCTCACTTATGGCCAAGGTGGATTAGAGTAGCAGAGACTGAAACTTGCCTTTCTATCTGAAGCATTAAAAGACGAAATTAGAACAAAAAAAAAATAGACTAAAAGTATATAAAACAACAGTTTTCAAGACTGGACATCAAGCAGTAGAGAAAAGTGATCCCTGAGAGAGTCTAGAGAATGACAAAGTGAGCCCTGTGTTTGTTCCAGCTTATTGCCTTGAAGAGAGTTTCCAGGTGTATGAAGGGGGAACCCAAATGGAGCCCAGAAGACTCCTCAGCTTGAGAAGACAGAGATGAGAGTCTGGGGAGACCAAAGTAGCTGGAGTTGATGGGGCAAAATATCATTGAAGAGAAAGCTGCATGGAGAGAGAACTCCAGAGATCTGTGGAAGTCCCCTCAAGTATTTACCAGAGTACTGAGCCACATGAATGTGAAGGAGCTAACTGAGACTGGAGGAAGTACCCCCTCAAAGGATTAGTGGTAATAGTGCTCCGTGCTCAAATAGGGTTGGAATGAGTGTCTGTTCCCATAATCCAGACTGGAAAACCTCATAATTGATAGAGCATTGGATGGAGTGGCGCCATGAAGAATGACTTGGCCATCTGCTTCCATAAAGATCACAGCCATTGAAAACCCTGTAGAGCACAATTCTACTCTGTAACACATGGGGTTGCCGTGAATCAGAATTGACTTGGTGGCAGCAGGTTTATGTAATAATTAGCCCTATGCAAAGCACTGCTGTGGTCTTGCCTAATAAACTTAAAAACAAGAACCAATTAAATCAAATTGTTTCCAAGTAACCTAACTGAACCATCAAGGTAAAATTCACAATGTCTGGTATCCAAACAAAGATTACCAAGCATACAAAGAAGCATAAAAAAATATGACCCACAATGAAGATATACATCAATCCAAACAGTAAGAATTGATACAGAGACTAGAATAAGTAGACAAGGAAAATAATCTAGTTATTAAAACTGTATTTTTTATTTTGAAAAAGTTGAGTAGAGATATACGAGATATAGCAAAAACCTGAATTAAACTTCTAGTGATGAAAACTACAATCTCTGAGATGAAATACAGTCTGGACGAGAGGGTGAATTTGATTTTGCAGAAGAAAAGATTAGTGAACTTGAAGACATAACAATATAAACTACCCAAAATAAAACATTCAAAGAAAAAAATTTCAAAAAATGAAAAATAAATTTTAATTGTGAAAAAACATCAAATAACTTACTATACAAGTAATTAGACTTT